AAATAATCACTAAGGTATTTTCTTATGCTTTAATTTGTGGCAGCAAAACCATTATTGCCAATCGTTTCAGTAATGGCTTCTTATGAGGCGGAGCAAGAGCGACTCAGGCAAATGATGGAGGACGTGATGGATGAAAATAATGAGATTTTGGATGACGCCTATGACGACGAATCAGAAGAAGCTGAATCAGATCACGAGGAAGAACAACTTGAAAATAGTGATTCTGAACAAGACATATCTGATGTTGAAGAAACAGACGAAATCCTCAGTAATTCTTTGTCGTTTATCGGAAAGGATGGAACCCGATGGAGGAAACATTCATCTACTCCCAGAACAGTGAGGACGAGAAAAGAGAACATTATAACGCGTTTACCCGGTCCTTCAGCAGCAACACGGACTTTGAAAAATTCGTTAGAAATATGGGAATATTTCATCAATGATGAAATGATCAACATGATCGTGATCTGTACTAATGCATATATAGAGTCAATAACAGACAAATTTGCTCGCAGCAGAGATGTCCTACCGACTAATGTTGTGGAAATAAGAGCCCTACTTGGATTACTGTACATGGCCGGAACCTACCACGCTAATCGTTTGAATGCAGAAGATTTGTGGAAAACTGACGGGTCTGGTGTTGAAATATTTCGCCTTACAATGTCGTTACAACGATTTAGATTTTTACTTCGCTGTTTGAGGTTTGACAAAAAAGCCACTCGGCCGGAGCGAAGATCCAGTGATAAGCTGGCTGCTATACGCGATTTTTTCGACCTCTTCAACACCAATTGCCAAAGAGGCTATCACCATTCGGCATACGTTACCATTGACGAGATGTTAGTGGGGTTTAGAGGAAGGTGCAGCTTTCGCCAGTACATACCCTCTAAACCCAATAAGTACGGTCTGAAAATACTGGCAATTTGCGACGCACTAATGTTCTTCACGAGCAAGCTGGAGGTGTATGTAGGATTACAACCAGAAGGGCCCTATAAATTGTCAAACACTCCGTATGATGTTGTTCTAAGATTGTGTCAGCATATTTCTGGATCAGGTCGCAACGTTACAATGGACAATTGGTTCACTTTGCCACTTATCAAGAAATTACTTTCTGACCACAAACTTACATCGATAGGAACCATACGAAAAAACAAGCGCAAGGTGCCCTTAGAATTTTCAAAACCAGTGAGTCGTCCACCGTGCACTAGCATGTTTGGATTTACACAAGAGAGTACCCTTCTATCATATATCCCGAAAAAAAAACAAAAATGTGCTTTTAATTTCTACGTTGCATCACCACGATGAAATCGATGAAGATACTGGTGATTTGCACAAACCTACAATGATAACGGAATACAACCGCACCAAAGGCGGTGTTGACGTTGTCGATAAACTGACCGCCAGTTATAACGTAGCAAGAAATACTAGAAGATGGCCTATGGTCATTTTTTATTCGATTCTGAACATTGCTGGAATTAATTCCCAGGTCATTTATGCAGCGAATAACCCTAGTATCACCATTTTACGACGGAATTTTCTAAAGCAACTTGCCAATGAATTGATTTTACCTCAGTTGCGAGTTCGCGCGGTGATGACAACGCTTCCGAAAGCGCTGAAGGCAAGATTAGAAGAATTTTGCGAACCAAATACAATCGAAGTTGCAGAAACGACTGTACCAAACGCAGAAAAAGGAAGATGTGCATATTGCGACAGAAAAAAAAAAACAGAAAAACTAGATTTGCCTGTTTTCATTGCATGTGTTTGGAGCATTTGGGAGCAATTTGTCGATGTTGCCAAAAAAATGCCTTATTTTGATTATTTGTTCTCATCTCGGCTATTTTTACTTTATTTGTAGTTAGAACTAACATGTTTCGTTTCAGTAAGGTTTTAAAAAAAATTATTTTTGTCATTTTGACCGCAATAAAAAACAATAAACTGAAAATATATTTTTTGTTATTCAGAACTAAAAACATGTATTCGTTAATCAAAAATTTTATGTTTGACGTAACGTAACCGTTTCTAGATTTGGCGAAATGCACTCAATTTTGTTTTTTTTAAATAGCGGTCTCTCAGACCGCCGTGACTACTTGTGCTTGAAAACAGGACGCGACTACTGGAAGGTTAAACTTTCCGCATACATTTTCTGGGATGTATCTGTAATTGTTTTTAACTTTGAGCCCACATATGCGCCAAAAGCAGCGCTGTCATCTCCAACTTCGTTCCTGGTTGCACTTGTCAGAGCGTCGGTGCAAACTTGTAAAAATTGTCTATGCTCAGTTAGATCTTCCTTTTTTTGCTTTTGCTTTCTGTGTCTCTCTTTAGTGATAAATGCCGTATTAATTGTAGTATTGCTACTATGCGGGGTGGATGTACTGCGAATCTGTAAAATCATAATTGAATAAATGCTTTATTTTTCAGTTTCCGTCTACAAAAGAAGAATGGAAAGAAATTGCGAAAGACTTTGAAGAAAAATGGCAAATACCTAACTGTGGCGGAGCAATAGATGGAAAACACATCCGCATTTGGGCGCCACCACACACTGGTGCCCAATACTTTAATTACAAAAATTTCTACAGCATTGTGTTAATGGCCTTGGTTAATGCCAATTATGAATTCATATTTGTGGATGCAGGCAAAAATGGAAGAATTTCTGATGGGGGAATTTTACAATATACAAGGTTCTATCAACTTCTTATAGAGGAAAAATTACAGTTGCCTGAAAGACATGAATGTAAAGAAAATATGAATTTCGTATTTATTGGTGATGAAGCATTTGCTATCCACAAACACATTTTGAAACCTTTGCCTCAAAGAAACCTAAACTACGAAAACCGCATATACAACTATAGCCTATCAAGAGGTCGTAATGTCGTCGAAAATGTTTTTGGTCTTATAGCAGCAAGGTTTCGGGTACTGCATACTGCGATAAATATGAAGTCATTACATATACAATATGTTGTATTAGCGATTTGTACTTTACACAACTATCTAATGAAGAGAAAAACACAATACATAGGACCTACCTCATTATTTGATTCGGAAAATAAGCAAACACACGAATTATTGAAAAATGCAGAATGGAGGCAAAATGCTGTTCAGTTATGTCCTTTGCAGATTTCGGACAGAACAGGTCAAGCACTTGATGCAAAAGAAAATAGACAAAAGTATATCCAATATTTCAATGGCAATGGAAAGGTATCTTGGCAAGATGACATGTTAAGGATGGGGAAGTCTTAATCCATAATGTATATGAATGTTTTTTTTTTTTTTTTTTTTTTTTTTTTAAATAAAATTAAAAGTAAAAGTAATGTTTTCTTTACCAGGCTATCCAAACATTGATCCAGACTTTCGTGCATGTTGGTCGATTCCTGGCTTTCAGGGTCCTGAGATTCTGCATCCTTTTCTCTTTCCCCATCACTATTATTGTCTTCACTGTCATTATGATCGTTGGAGATATCTTCTGTTAATACAGAAGAAGGACTGCGTATATTCGAGATGCTGGATGTGGGTTGTTCTTGATCTTTTATGAACATTAATAGGTCAAAGTACCATAAATTTAGCAAATAAATGTCACTTCCACGACCGCTTCTCATGGACCGCTCTACTTTCTTAAGTTCCTTCCTGAAGGTACTCCTCAACGACTGAATTTTTTTCTTAACCATATCCTCACCACCAGTCACTCTATATTTTTTACATACTTCTAATAAAGCACATATTCCCAACTTCTTCAAGTTTTTATCACATACTCTGAACTTTTGACTTTTCATAAAGCAGTATGTTGCCTATAAACCTCAATAAATTCAGTCAAAAATTCTTTATTACTCATTATTTTGCCGCACTTTATTAATCGTGATAGTCACTAATATTATTATTAAATTTGAACGTCAAGCAAGTGCGGACGTTTATGGTGGCGTGCAAGTTGCGACTTGTCGCCGAGTTTGCGTGGCTCGTGATGTGGCGCGGCAAGTCTGCAAATAAATGCACGGATTTATCCGTCACTTTTGCTCGCCGCATGCAAAAGTGTCAATAAAAGTGTTCGTCTATGCCTAGCTAATGGAGACTTTATAAAACATTTAAAATCATCGTGGCTAATTTGTTAATGAAAATGCGAGTTCTTAATGGTGGTTTTATAAAAAAAAACTATTAAGGGAAACGCAAGCCCTTTAGTTTTAGAAAAAGATTTATTGGGTACGGTGGTTAGGCAATTTTGAATACACTAGGGGAGCTACTGTTATTTAATTACAATTAACAGGTGTTTCCAGTGGCAAATCGTAAACTTTTTTCTCTGTCCCCGTTACATCTCCTTTGCCGATTTCTCTTATCGTTGGTTTCCCACCTTTAATCGGAAGAATTCCGCATTTAATGTCCCCTTTTATTTTTATCTTTCTGCCCACGTCCAAACTGTACAGCGCAGCGTCTTCTGTTGCTTGCCTGCCGGTTATCTTTTCAGGGGTAATTAGCGTCGATATTCGCTGGCTCGCTTATCGCTTGGTTCCCGGGATTGCATTTCGGTTTTTTTTTTCCTGATGTTCATTAACGCCTTTTAGGACCTGTAAGGTTTCTGGCTGTTGTTTTCGGTGGGTAGCCCTCACGTTTGCTGGGGGGTTCCCGGGGGATTTCAAAATTTAAGCAGCGATTCCTTTGAAGATTCCTTGGCGTCTTGTTCTTCTCCCTTCCTTTTTTTTTTTCACTGATTTGTTCACTCGAGCTTATCTTTTATCGCGTCTCCGTTTCATTTTTTCTTTCTTTTTCCTTTTTGAACCAAGCATTGGTCGGTGGTCGGTCCTCGTCAGCGCCCTTTCCCATTGTTCCCTCTCTCTTCTTGTTTGTCATCCTCGATACCATATTTTTATGACAACAATGCGTCTTCTGTCTGGCGATTAAAAATGTATTGGTGGCTTTTCTTCATTCTCTCCCTGACTTGCTGGCAGGATGGGTGAGTTCTTGTTCCCGTCCTTTACCAAGGTACTTAATTTTTTTTTTTCTTAACTCAATCGTTGTTACAGATCGTAGAATTTACTTAGCGCGGGACTCGAGGAGGAATAGCTTGGACGAGGCCCGTGAGTATAGATGTATATTATTTCTTCCCTTCTTGGGAGGGGTTTTTCTATTTCCAAAGATTTTATAATTTTCTTACTCTTCTAAATCTTTATTATTTATTTTTGTTTGTTTTTTTTTATGTGTAGCCGCCGTCCCAGACGAACCTGCAGCACCCGGAACCGGTGAGTACTGAATTAATTCCTTTATTATGTTCATTCCTTTTCCGTTGTTGTTGTTTTTTTTTTCTTTGGATGCTGAACCGATTTGTGAAAGTGTTTTTGTGCTTTTTTCTAGGGCACACGGCCATGATGAGAATGGACGCATCCGGCGGGGGAGCTGGGCCTGAACGGGGCCCTCGTCCTGCGGCTCCCGAACGGGGGCCGCGTAGCTTTCTCGCACGCCAGGGACCACATTAAAGTGGTCCTCCACTTTTAAAACCCCGAGTTCCCTTCGATTTATTCTGTATCTTTTTTTTTGTCTTGGATTTTGTTAATAAATGAAAATAAGTAGATATTTTGTTTTCCTTTTCGTACGGTGTTTCAATCGAACACAGGGGCTGTTGTAGTCGCTTAATGAATTATGAGAATTCATAACTTTTGCATGGTAGTGTCTCGGCAGTGTTTATACTAAAAATTCCCGAATAAGCAGAAATGGTATTTATAAGTTTCTTATGTGTCCCATCGTGCTCATTTTTGTTCCCGAAAGCATACGAAATGGGTAAGTATGAAATTTTTCAATGGTTAAATTTCTTTGATCAATTTCAAAAAGTGATACTCTTATTTGTTCTTGCTCTGTAATGGACTGGTTAGCGGCTCTGTGTCTTGCTTCCCTTAACTTTTATCTTTCCATCTGGGTTTTTTTTTCAGATCACCACCTTCAACCAGGGGTGAACCGTCCGGGTGCCGATTTTCGCAGCCTTTCTCCCTCTTCCGTGACGCTTTCGGAGATTCTGGCGTCTCTTGGAACTTCACCCCCACCGCGGCCGATCTCCGTTCCAGCGTCGGAACTATCCCTGGGGGTTTTATCTACTTCTCCACCTCCTCCAGCGCCGTTCCCTATGATGCCGGGTTATTTCCCGATGGTCGCCCCGGCGCTTCGGTATTAGAATAAGTTATTAGTTTAGAAAGACCAATTAGTCTGATTATTAAAATGTTTAATTTTGTTAACTTGATACAAATATTTGAAAATTTAGTTAAGTTTGGAATGTTTAGAAGTATTGTTAGTTTTTTGCTTTTTTCCTTAAAATAAGTGCTAGTACTAACTTCATCTTGTGATATTGAAGTCAATAAATTCGTGATTCAAACTTAAAATGTTTGTCCCTTTCCCAAAAAAAGAATGGTCAACTCTCCCCAAACTCTGGTTCAAATGTCCCTGATGGTGGGGAGATCTGACTCATATCTCATTTTTTATTAAAATCCTTATATCTATTTGTAGTATTACGATATTCAAAAAGTAATGACGCCAGATTATGCCTGAATAACAAAGCTATCGCCTAAAATCCCAGTCATATCTCTATACCTTATTTATAGGAAATTATGATGATTTAAATAAAAAGCGGTTCAAATCTCCCGGACTTCCCCTACTTAATACGAAAGACGTATACGTTTTTAGTGCAATTATGTGTGGTTTTATAAATTTTATGAGCCAATTATACCCAAATCCGTCTTTTGTTCGTGGCGATATTTTAATTTCAAGATAAAGAGTGAGAGAGATGTGTTTATCTTGCTTACTGTATGAATTTCGCACGTGCAGTGTTGTCGCGCTCAAGGCTCATTTATCGGAACTGACTAATGATTTCATCTGCTCACGGAATGCCGTCGATCCGGTCAATTAATTATTATCGCCGGATGTATTGTTATCTTTCCTGAACGAGTTCTTCTTTGACGGTGTGAATCGCACGAAAACGTTAACAAATTATTTCCGCGAGGTTCCTCATTGATCCAGTTTTCCTAAATTATTTTTTCATTAATATTACAATTTTCCTAATTTTATTTATTAGTGAAAGTAGTAATCTGGATATTTTCTAAATGTTTAAATCTCCTCAATTTACATATACAGTTTCCGACAAAAAATTTCAAACATCACTTTTCTGTCATGTCAAAAATTTTAATGTAGTCTATGCTTTATTGTCATTATTTCGGACAGCTGGAATGTCAAACTTTCAAAATACATAAATACCTAAACATCTAAAGGTTGGTTTACACTATCTGACGACTGTATGACATTGACGTCTGAAATTTTTTGGCCAACTGTATATATTTTTTTTATATATGTATATAATAGGGTGTTCCTTATGTAGAGGTGATTTTGTATTTTTTCGAATTAAGTTGGTCTCACCTTCCAAAAAGTTTACATTTGAAATAGACAGTACACATAAAAAATTTTAACCCATTCCCTTTATCCCTTTCCGTGCCGCCATGAACTTGAATTTTCAAAAATTAAAACCTGCATAATATGCAGTAGGTGTTGAGTACAAACGTCAAATAATTGTATTTTTTGTGTTATGTGGAGCATGTTAGCGATTACAAAAAATTCTAATGGCATCCCGAGGCTTAGACATATATACCTATATTTGGTAGGAATAGTAGAGACTCAAATACTTGGCTCAAAGCTTCCTACGAATAAACAAGTGTTATCAGTTTTTTTTTTTATAATTTGAGAGAAGTTAAGTTAAATACACGAGAGAGTGCAAGATTAGCGGTGCGAGAAGCAATAATTTTTTGGGAAAAAGTGGGGATACCAACAAGAGCGTTACATCATTGTGTCGATAAACTTTTAAAATTATATGAAGAATGGCGAAATTTGCAAAAAAATGCCAAACGAACAAAAGATGTATTCCGGAAAAGAAAAATTGAATAGTTTGTTTGACAACGCACATGCCGACGCTTTAACGACGATTAAACTAGCAGAACATAAGCAGTTGTTAATTGCACAAAGAGGGAAAGAGCGTAAGGGTTGCATCGGAGGTATAGATAGAAAGTTAGAATCTAAAGAACGACGAGCAGAAAAGCGGAGGCTTATAGAACATGAAAGAAAAGTGCGATATGAGGAAAGGATATCACAGTCTTTCTGAAAACTCTTCAGCCTCAAGCACAGCAGTTGAAGATGAAGAATGGAACTGTGGAAAATCTGAGGAAAAATCTGTTAGTGAAAACGATTACGAGCCTGCAGAGACATCTAAAAAAATAAAGAGGGGACACAAAAAATTCGTAACACCCAAACTAGTTGCAGCATTAGACCGTTGTCAGCTGAGTATAAGAGGAATAGGTGGAAAAACGAGTACTTCCATAGCTTGTATCAGCGCGGCAAATGAGCATTCTCCAAGCATGTAAACAATGTCGAAATAGGTACGGTAGTCCTCATCAAGGATGATCACACGCCTCACCGTCCAAAAAACACCGTGCTGGAAGTCAATCTGAGGTTTTTTGGTCCTTCCGACTTGAAAGTTGGAATGGAAACGGTGGTATTCCGCTTCATTATCAAATATACAAACTTCTTTAAGTAAAATTCTCCATCAAATCCAAAACCCTGCAAATGGGTGAATTTTTCTGAGGGTCGGTGCCACAGTGTTGGGTGGACAAGAGGCATCACCATCGGTTCCCCGTAAGCTTTCCTCTGGGATTATTTTGCTCTGCTGTTCGCTCGTCTTGCTTCTTCACTCTTCACGTCATGTCCCCTGGGATTTGCTACGGTAGTGCAGGGAATAACACCGTCACCAGGAGCCGGACCTGGAGTGCTATTCTTGACATTATGCGTTAAATAGCGCATACGTTATATAGCGATTTATAGCGAACACTTTACAAAAAATCTATTCTGGAGAATATTATATATATATTTAGAAGCGGATGAAGAAATTTTATGGGCGGCAGGTTTGGACAAACCTTCAACTTCTACTTCTCCACCAACAGATTCCATCAACGAAACTGTATCTTTTGTATCAAAATCCGTTTCAAGCGATAAAAAATTGAAAAAAGTTCCAAAACGGGTAACACAATTAATAAATTCAGCAAGTGCAACACAGGCATACAATGAGAATTTGGTTAAGAAATTAACAATGAAAGAAACTTATTATAAAATGAAAATAGAATGTTTAAACTGTTGGTGACCGCTGAATGCAAATTAGCGCCATCTAGTAGGCTAAGAGATAATAAGTTTGTAATTGACATAAAAACTCATGTCCTTTTTGTAAACTATATTTTCCCGATTATTAAACTAAATAAGGACGAGTGTGTCACTTCCTTCCATAATAAATATCATAATAAAGCGGTATGATTTAGAAGTAAAAAAGGAAGCTATAGAAAAGATTGCAAATGCTTTGACAAATTTGTCCCAAAATAGGTTTTAATGTTGGAATATTGTTTAGTTATTGTGTTTTTTTCTTACTGCCTTGTTTCCTATCAATAAAATAATAAATTTAACTTATAACGAAATAACAAGGGCCTTTTTATTAACCTAAACTTAACATCAAACTAAAATAAATATAGACATGAAGAAGCAAAATGATGTAATAATTTAAGGTCGCCGCATAAACCGTCTAGCGATTTCCAATCTTTTTCTTTTGCCATCTGCTAGGCCAGGGTTTATTCTTCGATAAATATTTTGATTTTGTATCTCTTCATTTTCTTCAATTCCATTGTCATCGACACCAAAGTCCACTTCAGCATCAAGTGGTTCATTTGGTTCGGGTACATTATGCTCGAATGCTCGATGTACAGATTGTGAAGCACAGCACAAGCATTAATTATTTTGCAACATACTGGTGGAGTATAATGAAGAACCCTGTGCTTTAAAGGACAACGAAATCTCATTTTGAGAACACCGTTACAGCACACAATCTTAACACGAGTATTTTTATGAATCTCGTTGAAATTTTGTTCAGGTGAATTTGGCTGAACATTTTCACTAAAAGGAGTTAAAATCCACGTCCTTAACGGATATCCTGAGTCTCCTGTTAACGTAATCGTGGTAATTACTTATATGTATCATTTCAATAGTAATTACCTATTAAAACCTAGACTTTTAATGTACTTTAGTATTTTGTAAAAGAGGAAGTATATAAAACTGGGTACCTGCCTACTAGGAAATAATATTTGTGATCATAAGAATGAAGATGCTGTATGAATGTTTCTACATTTGAGCGACTCCAGATGTGTGCTACCAGGAAATTTGGCGTTAACATTGAAGATTTTAAGATTTGAATCACATATCTAAAAATCATAGGCTTTTTTTAAGGGGAGACAGAGACAGCTACATAATTATACCAGTTGAACATTTACGGAATGATAATTTTTTCGGTTGATATATAGATGTTCTGGATAACTTGGATCATCACTTTTTGGAGGAAAAATTGCAATCAATGCACCCTATTACTCCCGGAAATCCATGTTTATCATAAAATCTAAATTAATACATACATATACCGTATAATTAATATACTTGAAACTTAAAAAACTTGCATTTTGATGATAATTGATAACATACCCTTGCCTAAGTCTATTTAGATCTTCAAAATTATTAGGAAATTTTATATAGCCATTAAATATTTGCGGGTCATTTAAGGCACTGGCCACTTCGTTTATATACCGACTAACACTGGGCTGCGACACATCTAAGTATTTATTAGTACCTATATTCAGCTAATAACTTCCACTTGCAAATAGTCTTAATGCAGTTAAGACCTAGGAAATTTTAATTAAAAGATATAAGTTTTAGCATTTGTTAATAATATATTTACCTTTGTTTGAATACTTAAATCGCTAGCGCGTAAGGGAGATGTAAGAAAAGGTTGCAAAATGTTAATTAAATATTGAGTTAATTGTTTTGTTAATCGAAACATGTTAATAAATTGCCTCTCATTAAGCTCCGCAAAAGGATTTCTGGGATTTCTGCGCAGCCTTCTGCCATGCTCAACTTGTCCCTCTAAATTTTCTAGATGTTCAATTTGTAAAATTTGCACTAACTCGTTCATTTTAAATATTTCTGTTGTATGCCTTTTTTGTATTGAATCTGTAAACGAAGTTGACAAGCACAGAATACTATACTATTTGATCCGTCACTTCAATACCTAATCGATGCATAAAGACTAAAAATCTTCGCTAAATAACATATGCGATTTATAACGAACAGTCAAGAATACAGTGTTTAGTATTCGTCGCTAAACAACGCATGCGTTAAGATAACGAAGGCTCGAGAATAGCATCCCTGAGCAGGATTCTTCCCGATAGCCACCTTTTATGGAGCAGTTTCCCAAGAAGTCCTTCAAACCATGAGGTCACATCGTGTGGTTTTTACTTTTTGCGCATTGGCGAAGGTAGTATTTGTTGCGTCGTTTATCGCGGTGTTTTGTCAGCTAAACCTTATAAATTTCTCTTAAATCTTAATTTATTTCCAATCTTAATATCCCTACATATTTAAATCTTTATATTTGTCAGCCCACAGTTCAATCATTTTAATTATTGCCAATTATTTTGAATTTCTCTATAACGTAAATATCTCAATTTATTGTAGTTTTCTCCGGTTTAAAACAATCGTAATTAGCATACCTGAAAGGTACATTCACAATGAGATAAGTTGTACAAATAATTTCAACACAAAATTAAAACGCTGCGGGAACCAGGTTTTATCATTCACAATGTGTGCAATTTGTAACGAAAATTAGCACGGTAAGTATGGAGTGTGAGGTTAGGTAATAATAATAATTTGTGAAAATACCATTAAAAATATCGAAAAGGAAGGCAGAATTTATTCATTGTGTTAGAAAGAACAAGTATTGTCACGTAATACAACACAAAATAGGTTATGAGCGTCGTCCGTCAACATTGTCAACTAAACATAGGTACTGCGCAGACTCATATCATACAATTTGACGTTCAATTTGCAGTTTGGGCGCAAAAGTTTGGAGTTTACAAACTTTCACGTTACGTACTAATGATACGTATTAATTTTTCTGATGTGAATGGTATCATTCAAATGCGTGTAGCAAACTACTACTTATACGTACTAATTTTACGGATTACATACAAATTATCTCATTGTGAATGTACCTTTACTAGCCAAACTGAATCTTATCTGTAGGGACCTAATTAGTTGTTCATGCGACACGCATTGTGGATAGGTTAAGTTACTTTAAGAACTCGTTTGATCAAATGTAACAGCGGATCAGTAACCTTACTACTCAATAATTATTTTAGGCATTCCTGTGTAACGGGCGATAAATTTACTTATTTTTGGAGATGTTAGTATGAATCAGAACAATCGTCATTGTCGTAAAAATCAAGGTTGTCCTTGTGAATCTTGAATTTTATGATTTCACACCATGCTAATCAAGGTTTATAATTTCACAGTTAAATACTGGCGCCATTTGACTGGGCACGATGTCTTTGTCCAGTTTTATAACTTCATGGTTTAAATTTATTAATATTAACAAAAAGCACATTTAGCCACTAAAAATCTTCATACTAAAGTTAATTAAGCCTAATTTGGTGGAAACACAAATACTTTTACGACACGACGATTTTTGAAAATCTCCCCAGCCCCTCACATACTTATAGGAGAAAATCTGGCGCAATCGGTAGGATTGGTTTTTGAACTGGATGTATATGCTTTTGTTTGCTTGAAAATTTTGCGTTATAGAAAAACTGAAAAATTTAATTTTTAACATTTTATTCAATAACTGTTGAGAAATAATTTTGTTTAGAAAGACAAAAGAAATGGTAAGGACTTTTGAGCGTTATTTTCGAGAATTTGTTTTTGACCGGTAAAACTTGAGTACGGGTCTGGCGCGAACGATTTTAACGACCATAATTAACATATATATTAGCCACACTCCAATGTGACCGTGAATGCGTGCGGGATGTGGGATGGTTTATGAGGTCTGATAGAACTATTTTACGAGCGAGCGGAAAAATGCGTAAATTTCACTTCCTAAAAACTTGCGTATGTAAGGTTATTGCAATGGACGAAAAGACTGAGTTAAGTAGAAATTAAAAAAAAAATTAAGCTTGCATAATTTCAGTATCAGAGAAACAGTTCAAAAAAGGCGGTTGAAAATGTGAAGGGTATGTCTATTATTTTCACGAAAAAAAATTAAATTTCATTAAATTTTGGAAACGTCATTAAAACAGTAAACATTGTGTTTCGTGAACAATTTATTTTCGGAAATTGTTATTCGTTAATTTAATAATTTATTTCAGTAAATGACAGATAAATAAATAGAACAGTAAATTTTAATTGCTTGATAGATCTAGTTCTGTCCGTAAAAAAAGGCCAAAATTGCAGTTCTTTTAATACGCAAGGTGGTGATTATTGCTAATTAAAACAATTGAAAAAAAAAGATTAATAGCTTCTTAAGATGATTCCGTTGTTTCCACTTTTTTTAAGCACACACTGCTGTATTTAAGTTTGTGCATTTTAGTAGTAGAATGAAGAGTAATTTTGTAATCACAGTAAAAATAAACAAAAAAAATGTTTTTAAAGGTAAACAGTTTCATAGTTTTACGCAAGATGTAAAGCATATCACGAGATTTAGCACATATTAAGAGTAACTTGCAGTTTTGTGGTAAAATTGTTGGAAAAAGTGATATTTCCGTATTATTTAACAACCCAACTATAAAACCTCGTACCCCGTAATTTAATTTGAAACTAACGAATCACAAACGTCGAGAAAAAATATAAGGAGGGAGACAAAAAAGCTAGGACTCCAGAAATAATGTATGCAGTGGCGGCTGCTGCCGGGAGGGCAAATGGGCAGTGCCCTCCCAAATGACTTTTTTAGGCTGACTTTTTATTTTACTCAGTCGGAAATTTTAAAAAAGAAAAATCAAATATTAAATTTATACTCTTTTTTATGATTTCCCAGTCAAAAATCTTACTTTGAAATCTTTGAATGAATTATAAATGGTTTCGGGCAACAGTTTCGGCTCCTCCTCCTGTGCATTTAAAAGTTAATCTGCGCGCTATAAACTTCGACTTTTGATTCGTTGAATTGGATCTTCACCGGGCAATATACACAGATGCCCGAGCCAATCACAAAAGAAATGCATTGTTAAATGAGAACGGCGCGTGTGCATAGCTCATGGCGTTAATGCAAGAATGCAACAGGCGGGAACTGCTCATCTCACGTACAAAATTCGTGTTCTTTTGGGTTATTTCGTTATTTTTTTGTAAAATGAATACTGTCTCCGCGATTAAAAACCGGAAGTTGAGTGGAAATTTAACTTTCGAAGAACGTCTTCAACTGAAGGGATTGGGATTACTTCGGCCGGACTTAAGTTTGAAGCAAACGTCTATAGTGAAAAATAAAACTGTAACAAGACACTTTAATCATAGATTTTATGAATGTGCAGAGTGGTTGTGTGGATGTGCCGAACAAAATGCCTTTTTCTGTTTTGTGTGTTTGGTAATGGATAAAGGCGATTGTGATAAATCTTGGGTGGAAACTGGCGTCAAGGATTTGAAACATTTAGGTGAGAAAAGTAAAAAGCATAAGATCGCAGAAAGACATTTATTTTATGCCGTCGAATATGCTACTCTTGGTAGAGTAAATATTCAGAATCAATTGGATTCGGCGTATCGTTTAAATGTGAAAAAACATAATGAGGAAGTAAAACACAATAGATATATTTTAAGCAAGTTAATAGACTGCATAAAATTTTGTGGAGCTTTTGAAGTTGCTTTACGCGGGCACGACGAACGCGAAACTTCTTCAAACCCGGGCATATTTCGCGATTTGGTAAATTTACTCGCGGAAGTGGATAATGTCCTTAAAACGCATATTGAAAAATCACAGAAAAAAATATTTTCAGGATTATCCAAAACAATTCAAAATGAATTACTGGATTCCATTCTAGAAGTATCGTTGCAATTAATAAAAGACGAGATTACACAGTGTGATTATATTGCAATCGAAGCTGACGAAGCAACTGATAATTCCACAATTTCTCAGTTGGTTTTTATCGTGCGATATGTTCTGAATGGTGTAATACATGAAAGATTTATGGGTTTTTTTACTCCAACCGCACCGAATGCTGAAGCAATAAGTACTTGTATTTTCAATGAATTAGAAAAACTTAAACTAAATGAACGCCCAGAGAAACTGATAGCACAGACATATGACGGAGCGTCAGTCATGAGTGGCCACAATGAAGGTGTTCAAGCTCGCATTAAAACTTTTTATACAAACGCAGAATATATACATTGTTATGCGCACCAATTAAATTTAATTATTAAGAGAGCAGCAAACATTCACAAGTCTGTAAAAATTTTTTTCTCTAATTCGGAAGCGTTTTCAGCATTTTTCTCTCGTTCACCCAAAAGAACTGCAGTTTTAGATGAAGTAGTCCCCAAACGACTACCTCATGGACCTGCTACTCGTTGGAACTTTAAATCCAGAACAATTGCGACTATCTTTCAATATAAAAATGATTCAATAAATTGTTTAGAAACAATCATTGAAAGGGAAGATGACAGCAAAACAGTTACAAAATCAAATGGGCTCGTTAATTTCCTGAAAGATTATGAATTTAATTATTGGCTCCATGTTTTTAATAAAATAATGCCCAACTGTGACATACTATACAATCAGTTGCAAAAACGAAGTGTAGATTCCGCAGCAGTTGAAAAGTATGTACAAGATTTTAAAAAATCTGTAGAACATATAAGACAATCGCTTGATTATGAT